GTCAGTCACCACGCTCAGTGCCTGGTGCAAATTCCCTGACAGACTTTGGTCCTTCGAGCCGGATTCAGGACTCGTCGCGGAGGGCGAGGACGGGAGATTGGACAAGAGCCTGGCCAGGCCCGGATAACACCGGAAAAACCACTTTTCCACGTGGCAACCTCTCTTCATCGTCCTCTGCGCTGAGGACTGGACGGTCCCAGCGTAAGACCAACCATCAACCAAAAGGTCAGAAACATCTCTTATGTTAGAGCGAAAGATCAGACTTAGCTGTGGACCAGGTTTATGGTGCGAGTGTGCTTTGTTTGAGTGGTGAATATTCACACGTTGTGAAAAATCACATGAACGATCCTTTATACTCAAGACAGAGTTGGACCGTGTTTGAGATCCAAGACAGGGTAGAAGTCACTCAAGACAGAGTGCAACGGACCGTAACTGAGACCCAAGGCAGGGAAACAGTGACTCAAGACAGAGTCGGACCGTGTTTGAGACCCAAGACAGGGTAGAAGTCACTCAAGACAGAGTGCAACGGACCGTAACTGAGACCCAAGGCAGGGGAACAGTGACTCAAGACAGAGTCGGTCCGTGGTTGGGACCCAAGACAGGGAAAACAACCATGAGAAAGAACAGTAATGGAAAGAAGGAGAAACCTCCGGTCTGCGACTCGGACTCTAGTGGGGAGGAGGAGACCGGGAGGAAGAGAGTGACGTTAGCAGTAGTAAAAACAAAGTCGAAAGAGAAGAGTCAAAAATCTAGGAAGGAGATTCCTTGTGATCCACGTGCTCTGGACGCAGAGCTGTGGATGAGGGAATGTTTCCCCCATTCAGTGCAGTTCATAAAGAAATGGCAAAAACGATATGAATGGTGGCAACCCACATTTGAAATTGACCAAATTGGAAAATTGTTACAGAATCTGACTCTAAAAGATGCACTGAAACAAAAAGGGAAAGATTATGCAGGAAAACAAACCCTTGCAGCCAGAAATTGGATGTATTCTGCTAAAGCCCTGCATAATCGATATAACCAATATTTAAAGGATCAGAAGAAGGAAACAGAAATTTACACCACCAAACAAATCAGACAGATGGATAGTGACGGCAGCCACAGTCAGGGGAGGGCAAGGCGGCCAGAACTAGTAGCAGATCAAAGTGATGAGGAGGGTGAGTTGAGTCCAGTAAACACCCCGAGGAGACCCACCACATCCACACCAAAGACATTAAAGACAGAGGCACCCCCCCCATATTACCAGTCCGGACCAAGACAGTCCCAGTCATTCAGTGAAATATCCTCTAGTAGTGATATGTCCCCAGACCTCACTGAAGAAAGATTATATCCTACCCTACCCCCCACTAAAGATTTAACTAGAAATTTTGCCGATTTGACCATGAGTAATGCCCTAGGAGGCAGAACACGTGCACAAACAAAACTCTTGGAGGAGCAAAAAGCTGCCTCAGCCCCAAAAACCCCCAGTGACCAAACCACGGGATCGTACGTTTTTAGTCCGTACAATCCCTTTGTAGCCAGTCCCTACTATCATGTGGATAGCAGTGCGTTCCCAATGATTCCCCTGCCCAATCCCAGACAGGATGGTGATCAATTGATATATGTGCATCGGCCATGGACTCCAGGGGAACTGAAGGAGGTTGTAGATAGCATTAGGAAAGTAGAAAATAATGTAGAACATGCTATCGAGGATCTCACCTCTGTGATTCTGTCATTCCGGTTAGACGGAACAGAAACACGAGACATGTTGAGAAATTTTTTCAAAATGAAGTGGCATAAATTCGAACCACATTTCCAACACATGACAGCTCCAGCCCAGGGAGAACCAGCAGTAAGAAACTTCCAAGAGGTGATACAAGAGCTTAGTAGGCCAGCCGCAGGACCAGACCCAGGCGGAGTTTTTGCAAGAATGCGAAACATGTGGCCGGCACGAGCAGATTGGTCAATAATAAGCAAATGTAAACAGGGCGAACATGAGTCCATGGAGAATTATGAGTCCAGACTCAAAACATTATTTGATCAGCATTCTGGACTCCAGCCGTCTGATGAGCCCCGAGGCGCTTATCAACAGCAATTGAAGACCGTATTCTTAAACGGCATCAGGGTAGAGGAGCGCAACCATATTGTAAAGCATTGTGTGGGATATGAGTCTAAGGGTTTTGATGACATCTTTGCCCATGCCAAACACGCAGAGACAGTGCAGAAGGAGAAAAAGCGCAGCAAAGCTACCTCCATTATGTATACAGGGGAACAAGAGACTCTTACATTTGTAGTGGACAAACCCAGGAGGAGCGGAAAGGGAAAGGGTGGATACCAAGGAAAAAGGATAAGCAAGAATGTTGGGAGAAAGGCCTGTGTTTTATATGCAGGAAGGCAGGACATCTTATGGCTGAATGCCCTAAGAAGAGAGGGAAACCAGACAAGTCTAAAGGAAAGAAGCGAGAAGAGAGAGCAGCGGAGAGTAGTGACAGTGAAGCATGACTCCCGGTATTGGGGGACTCTGTGGAAACCACAAGGGATGAATTGTCCAGTGATTCCTCAGAGTCAAATCTAAATTGGGATAATGATCATCTAATGGAGGAAGAAGAATTGGAATTATATCTGTGCAAGTAATGACTCACTCACAGTGGCTAAGGCCATCTGTAAGACCATAATACCGACCTTTGGGATTCCTCAGATAATACGATCAGACTGTGGTGCTCATTTTGTTAATGAAGTAATCCATCGTATAGGTGAACATTTGGGAATAACATTGAAAAACCATTGTGCCTACCATCCCCAATCAGCAGGACTGGTGGAGAGAGTGAATGGGACAATTAACCCTTTAGGCGCCAGAGTTTTTTCAAGAAAATATACAATTTTGATTTCAAGATTTCAAAAGGCTATAACTTTAAAATGGTTTGAGATAAAGGCATACTGTAAATTAGAAATATCTTCAGTTTGAACCAAACTTTGGGATGGAAGTTGATTCGTCATCTAATTTGCATATTGTGACGTCATCAAGGTGGCGGCCATTTTGGAAAATGTTAATTATTGTATAAAGACTTCAAAAAGCTGTAGCTTGGGAGTTATTTGAGATCAGGGAATACTATAAACAGTCAATGTGAAATATCTTTAGTATGAAATGAATTTGGGATAGAAATAAATTCCCTGATCCAGATTATAGATAATGTTTTAGCACTGGTTCGCAGCCATATGGAATTGTATTATTTTCAAAGACCTTCAGAGATCAAGACAGCACTCTTTATAGTTTACAGTCATGAAATCTTGAGATTGGTTTCAATATTTCCCTTTCAGAGAAGTAGTGGGCTTACTATTTTTCTCAGTGGAAATGAGGCTCCAGGATTTACCATTTAGAAACAGAGAGATGAAATGAATGGGCTCAGAACTTGTCAGATCGTCTCAACAACATACAACAGGCTCTTCAACACTTCTGATCCACTTTTGTGGATTATTTTCTCTCAAAAACTGCCTTGATCCTCATCATTGCTGTTGGTAAAGGCAGTGAACGCGATTAGCGATGTGTTTTTTTTCCCGCGGCTCTCCCGCGACTTCTCCCGCGTCTCCCGTGTTCCCCGTGGATGTCTACCCCCACTACTTTCTCCCACATGCCCGGTGTTATGATCCCCCTGTCCCCTCGACCCCAGCCCCTGCTTGGCGTTCACAGAATGCTTCTATCGCGGCCACACGGAGGACAAGCAGCCGCTGTACAGGGGCTGCTTGTGGACTATATGGAGCGCTGTCTCCCCGTCACCAATAATGTCCGTGTCTGCTTCACTGGACACCTATGTGTCTTCCTCCTCTGAATCTGAGTGAGCCAGTACCAGACCAAGTACTTCTCTGGTACTGAAGACCTCGTGAGTAAAATAAAAACCACTCTCTCCCTCTGCTTTGCTCTCGCTCCTCTCAGCTCTACCGCTGCTGCTTCGCCTCCGCACCACTGCGCCGCAGGTGTTTTACGAACTCAATTTACTCAAAAACTTTCAATATAACCACACCCACAAATGTTGCTCATATTACAGGCACACATGTCCACTAACCCCTGGTGAAAAGTATTAACAAGATTCTGCACCACATTTTTAGATACAGCCTGTTTAAGTGAGCAATGTTGCTTGTCGCAATATTGCGACTTTGGCGCTTAAAGGGTTAAGAATAAACTCTCCAAAGCTACCAAGGACGCAGGAAGAACGTGGCCACAATGTGTGGATCTTGTAAAAACTAATCTACATATTTTACCCGCTCAGAACTCTTTGTCTCCATTTGAGATCCTGTATGGAAGACCATTTACAATTCCAGACTTACAACTAATTGAGAAGGACAGACCGGACACTAGTCCAGACCTGGTGACATATATGAGACAGCTGTTTGAGAGCCGAGAAATTCAAAATGTGCATAAATTGCCTGCCGAACCATTCTCTCAACAGGAAAGGACTGTGAAACCAGGGGACTGTGTGTTCATCAAAGTGATAAAGAGGAAGTCCTGGAACAGCCCATGGTGGGAGGGTCCACACGTCGTCTCCACTCCCACGGCAGTGAAGATTGAGGGACGGACCTCGTGGGTGCACCTCTCCCATTGCAAGCTCCGAGACCAACTTGACCCGAACGCCTAGAGAGACGCAGGACGTCGTTGGTAAGCTGTGAACAACAACGGTACTGTGACACACACACAACCGCTACGATGAGATTGATCCAGGTTCTTATAGGTTTAGTCCTAGGCCTGGCTACGATGAGATCGATCCAGGCTCTTATAGGCTTAGTCCTAGGCCTGGCTACGCTGACCTTCACAGCCCCAGTTAACAACGTCGCCAACGGTCCAGAGCAGCTACAGAAGACCCCAGGAGAACTATGTACTGAACTATATGGAAGAATAACATATGGCTCAGGGTTTTGTTTACCCCCTGAGGGTAATTTTTCTCTACATATACCCTGTAGCGTGCTGCGCGATGTCCAGGAAAGACGTCCCACAGGTTGTACCCAACATGACCAGTGGGTTGTAGAATCTAAAGGGAAGGATGCTTGGTGGTTCCCACCAGGTACTCCCACATCTGTACCGTACACCGCTGTAGAAAGGGGGGTTGTGGGTGCACTATGACGCTGTTGCAGGACACGACCAAGTTGACCCTGATAACCTAGATACATGGGACCACCCTGTTAGATCCTGGACGTAGATAGAGAGTAAATAATCGTTAACCCATGTTGTACAAATTCTAAGAAATTCATGAAGGAGCTAATCCAAACCCTAGCGGGAAGATTAGCCTTGGAACACTTTCTATGAAATTTGTTTAAACAGGGGGAAAATGTACAAGAATGTCCAGGGTTCATGTTAAGGTTTTATTTTGTTTTACTATATGTGCATTTATAAGCAGATGAGTTGAACCAAATGTTCATAAAAGTGTTGTGCAGAGAGAACAGGAAATGAAAGTGTGTGCAGAGAGAACAGGATATGAAAGTGTGTGCAGAGAGAACAGGATGTCAGTTGCAACAGTTCCCCGTCTGATAAAGACCAACGGAAAGTTTGAGATGCTTGCTTGTTGAGTTGGGGGCGTCACTAAGACGCACCGACTGCACCAATAAACCTTGCTATCATACTATATATGGAAATTGTGTAAATGTAACCACGCCTGCTTTTCTTGTCAAATAAAAGCTGTGTCCGGAAAGGAGCACATCGGGAAATCACTCTGCTAGTACACAGGATGTGTCCTGAGCAGTCTGATGGCTTGATGCGTTTCCCCGTGATCACGTAAACTCTTTCTGAACTTTCAGGTTGTGTGGTTTTTGGGTCTTGATCTGTCAGTCACCACGCTCAGTGCCTAGTGCAAATTCCCTGACAACGACACACTTGTGTGCGTCAGATCTGAGAAAGAAAGTTATTGAAAGGAGAAGAAAAAGATTGAAAGAAGAAGGAAGTGATTGAAAAGAAGAAGAAAGACATTATGATAAAAAGTTATCGGAAGAAAAAGAAAGTCATTGATTGAAAGAAGAAGAAAAAAGGCATTGAGACAAGGACCTTGGACACTATGAGACAAAGACAATTGAAAGACGCCATAAGAGGAGGACGTGGCTGGGCAAATGAAACAGACAGAAGGTAGTATATACAGACAGGCAACAAACGCACCAAGACATTAAGGACATTTAGGTCATATTTACACATTTAGGTCATACGTTCAAAACACTACATTTAACTGCATGAATGATTACAAGACAATCGTCAAAATTATTAGACTCTTACTTTAGCATGAGACACAAGGAGATTGGAACAGCAGTATATTTGTGCATGATTTAGATGAGTTTTATTATTAAAACTATTATTGTTATTTAAAGTTATAGACGCGGAGAAGTTTAGAATTATTGATTTTGACTGCATGATCTTGGTAATACGGATATTTAACGCAATTTTTTCAACCTCTGAACCGTGGCTCGTTTCTCATTTAAAACAATCACATGCACAGTTGAAACTGGTGCTGGAAAGAGAACTGCAGCTTTTAATGGACGCTGCATTTAGTACAAAATGGTTTGTTCAGACAATTAAATTAAAAATAGAAATACTCTATTAAAAATAATAGAGTATTTCTAAATCATGGTTAGAGGTGATATTGGACCATTTTTGATGGCACACTAACGCACCAAGGCTCACTGGTTGAAAACACGGATGTAGAAACATTTTATGAAATCTTTTATGACATGTTTCTCTTCCAAATAGCTAAATTAGAAACAATTAGGACAATTATGTCTTTGATACAACTGTTGGCAGTTTGTCTGAGACATGATTGGTGCAAGTACGTAGACACGTACAATATAGCTTTCCACGAACGTGAACAAAGGTGAGATTAAGTTTGAACTAATTACATTTTATAAAAATTACAGGCCTCCTGTGTTGTCTACATGTTTGTGTGTGTTATATGTTTGTGTATGTTATATGTTTGTGCGTCATGTCAAGTACACTACGTTGACCTTAACAAACTCTGGACCAATATACTAACGTGGGGAGTCGGAGTGTGTTGTGAGTGTGTTGTGAAATGAGGAGTGAATGAGGATTGCTGAACAAAAATGGAATAACAAATGTTTTCCTGTAATGTTTTAATGTGATCATGGAATAATTATTTTTGTCAACAGCATACGGTGTAAGTACTAGAGATTCAAAGATAACAAGCTTTATTGAACAGGTGTAAAAGTGAGAGTACTCTGGGATGAGTACTCTGAGAAAGTACTCTGCGGAAAGTACTCTGAGATGAATACCTTGCTGAAGGTACTGGGAGTCCCTCCCTCTGCTGTTTGTCCTGACAGTGATTCGGTCCAACCGCAGTGAGCGGTCATTGGGCGGAGGACAACTTTGGTTTGTAACTCACATTTAGTGGAGTATAAAATTAGAAACATACATATTGTTAAGTCTGTATTTGGCTACAGCCTCTGCCCTGATGTCACACACCGTCTGTCAATGCAGTTATGTTTTGCCCAATTGGAAAAGATTGACAGGCTGCACCATGCCAGGGAAGTGGGCATTTCTTGTGTTCTAATGTTTCTTTTTCAGATAAAAGATAAACTGCACCTGCTTCAGGGATAACACAGTAGTACGGATCAAGAGAGGAAATGAGCCTCTACGTTGGCACCAAAGCCCACAATACGAATTGAGGACGATCCGGGAGAAACAACTGGAGATAATTGGAACAGTAATCTACACACACACAGACGAATACATTTACACTTGGCCCACGACCAAGAGAGGGAGTGTTGTAATGTTATTGTCATAGGTGGTCATGGTCCTTAACCTTCTAAATCATTAGAAAGAAGTGTAAAACATATATTTACAAGAACAAATCAATAATGGAAAGGGCAGCCTAAAAGCAAAATGGAAAAATTAAATAATTTTCGGAGTTGCCAAAATAAAATAAAATTCTTTATTTGTCCCATAGGGGGTCATTCTAAATTTAGTGCTGTGCAAATTCAAAAGGAGAAATAATAGCGCTTATAACATCAAACAGATCTAGCCTTTAAGATAATGGTAGAATAGAATAGAATGAAATAGTCTGGAGCTATAATGTCATTGGATTCAAGGAGCTATAGGTTGAAATGTCGCTAAGAAGAGGTGTCAGAATAAACAATAGTAATAATAGTTAGACTAGTGAATAATCAAAATAGTTCTATTGTTTAGATGCTTCTGTTTTCCACATCTGTAGGATCTAGTGCAGATGTGTTTATAGAGAGTAGTATTAAAATGCAGACATAGAACGACAGGCTTTAACAAAATTTTAAATCTAAAAATAGCTCAAATATAACATTGCTCTTGATGCAGCCTCTGAGCTGCTCCATTGGAGAACAGGTTAAATGTTATTGTTTATTACAAACAGCTGATGTATTCACACATATTAAGTTTGGGACTCTTTAAACAGTTATAAGCAGTGGACAGAAGCCATGAATGTGCTTTTGTTTATTAAATAATTAATTTCATAGCCATTTAATCGTAGAGGACATTTCTAAAATAGTTCTCTTCCTCCCGCTCCCTTTCAGGCAACTTGATTAGATTCATGTCTTTAATATTGGAGAACTACTGTGTTGTTTTTGGAATTGTCTGAAATACAATACATAAAATAGTGATTTGCAGAACAAGAACCAGCCAATGAAAAATCATCTATTGCCAATGCTATTGCTACAACTAGAACCGCAACTGTTAAAAGGGTCTAAAATAATGAAGTATGAGTATTTTAGCGTTTTAGTAGATGTTAAATAGTAGAAAAAAGTAGAATTTGATCATTGTTCATAAACACACTTCAGCGTAAGAGTTAAAATGGTACCATACAATGTGATCCTTCTGATCATAGAGCAGCTAAACTGTTAGAATCAGAATTATTTTACAGCCATTGAAAGTGACAGAAGTCACAAATTGGAAATATGCTTTGGCTCAAGCTACAACTGAGCTTTGGAGTCACAATAGAGTAGAAATAGATAGATGCTTTCAAAAATAGAGATTATTTTTAGCCAGGGCTAATATCAAACGGTAAAAGGACCATTTCCTTCATAATATGTCCAAAAGTATTTACTTCAAAAGTAGATAAAGTTCATTACAGTTCATGCACAGTTGTAAAGGGACTGACCCAGAGAAACCTGCCTAAATAGATTAGCTCTGTAAGGATAATACCAATTTGATCATCGATGTACATTTATCCCAAAACGGTCTGAGAGGAGGAAGGGACAGCACTTCCTCGTCAACAAAATGTATTTTGGAAAAATGAGCAAAGCCCCACGAAATGGCCAAAGCCACTTTGGATAAGAAAGCAAACCAAGTTAGATAGATTTTTAGATAAAATATATGTTTAAGAATAGGGCTCAATAAAAGCAATTATGCAAAACTTATTTGTAATAGATTAGAATAGTTTAAACTATAGTGAATAGTTTTAGTGCATACATACAGACGAGGTTGAAGAGAAATCAGAATGACATAGCAGTGGTTCATCAAATAGTAGTGAAGGAATGGTAAAAATGTGGTTTGTTGTGTGTTGTATGTTTTCTCTGTATTAACTCTTACACAGATTATCAAGCCCGGAACTAAGCACAAAGTATTGAATGTTAAAACGACGATGTGGATGTGACCTAATTTTTAATCAGGTCAAAGAGGGAAACTGTTGTATTTATTAATTACATACTTTTCTAAAACCATGTGTTTTATGGACCTAAACGACCTCTAGTGGGAGGCCAGTCCTTCTTATTTTATTTTAGGGTGTCTTCTTGTGCAGAAATGGACAACAGATGGATTCTGCTGTTTGTATTTCACCCCTAGTCTTGGCTGCTGGACATCTGCACTTTTCAACCTCATCCATCAGAGTCTGGACAGACGGAGGAAAAAGGCTGGACCCTAGACCGGGAAGCGGGCTGATAGGGACTCTCCCTCCTCCTGTTCTTTTATATGCATCTGCGCTTGGGGAGAAACAGAAGGAGACGCGAGGGGCAGAGAGGGACCATATATAGTTTTAGGGAGACTCTTTGTTGGAATTTCTGTATTGATTGTAAAAGATAAATTAAATAAGTATGTTAACTTGGAGATCTCTTGTCTTACTCTTGCATCGACTTTGAACAAGTCAGTCAAAGGGTATTGAACTTCATATTAAATCAATTATTCTTTTGCATTCTGCATTTGAGTCCTACATCATCTCACCACGTGACACAGGATTAGCGTACCCATATGTGAGATACCTCACGAAATGTGAAAGAAACCATTACCTCTGTAAACTCTGCTGATCCCACCTTCTGAATACACCTCCTGTATAACATCTGCTGATCATTTATTTAAGTTACTCCAGCTTCAATCAACTATGGATTCAGTTCAATATTCACCTGAATCATGATTCAATGAGTCTTTTATAGTGGTGGAATTAAAGTAGATTGGGAATATATTTGGTGTACTGCACTGAAAAAAACAGAATATTCAAAGTTTTTAATGCTCGGAAATAAACGTGGCTAACTAAAGTGGATTTTGTCGTATTTCATATTTGTATATTTATACATAGTACACATGGTTTTATTCAGTTCATATGGCCTTATAAATAAAACACATGGGACAATAATTATCTAAGGATTATAACTGGGAATATTGCCCCAAAAACCAACACTTTATCAGCAATAGGCAACATTTGTGCTGAACTGAAGGGGACGCTGGTCTGACCAGACCTGGTTTCCCTACAAAGTGTCGTGAGGCAGTGTTTGTGGCTCCCCGCACACAACTGCAGCTGGCACTTCCGCAAAAAAGGGGACCGAGCGACAAGTTCTCGGTGTGCAGGGTTAGCTGTTGGTCGAGCCTGTTCTGGATCAAACACAGCTTCAGGATTCTGTGTCGGCCACTGTAAAAAAAAAAAGTTGAGTCAACTTAAAAAAGTAAAGCAACCAGCTGCGAAGCTTTTTTGAGTTCACTCAACTTTCAAGATATATATTGAGCAAAATTAAAGGAGGAAGTTGGGAACATTTCCTGTTGTGTTTAAATCCCACTTATCTCAATAATTACAAGGGAATACAAATTTTAAATCAGTCCAACTAAGAATAGTAACTTGACCAACTTGACAATTAAACATTTGCTGGACTTTAAACAAAAAGTTGGTTCAAATATCAATTGTTAATTCATCCAACTCATTCTAGAAAGTTGAAACAAGTACAATGTTAAGTTGGGTGAACTCAACGTTTTGCACCTGGTGGCTTTACTATTTTAAGTTGGGTCAAATACCAATAGTTAATTTCTCAAACTAATTTTAGAGAGTTGAATCAAGTACAATCTTAACTTGCTAACTTAGGTTGAGTTAACTCAAAAAAGCTTCGCAGCTGGTTGCTTTACTATTTTAAGTTGAGTCAATTTTAGAAACTAAGTTCTGAGGATTAACATTTACAATTTAGGCAATTCCTTGTATAAAAGACACATTCCACAGAATGCTTAACAATTTAAATATCAACAGATAAAATTACTACTATGGGTCCCCTTAAAGCATCACAAGAAAAACAAGATTAACATGAGACATTTATTAAACATGTTAATTAAAACTGTCTCCCCAGAGTTTTGATATTGGACTGAAACATGCACAGACCACAGGCTATTTTTAAAAGCACTGTCATACACATCATGAAAAGACAAAAACGAAATTTAGTCTTAGTTTCTGTCAAACAAGTGTTAAACATTGTAAAGTGCAATCATTTTACAGCAACAGTGGGTGACCTGAAACTACATTCAATCCCATCAAAATAGAACAATATTTCACAGCTTCAACAATGAAAACGTTCAACATGGCTAAGTGCAATTATTTAACAGCAGCAAGTTCTCATAAAAAAAAAAAAATATGTATAATGTATATAAAAGACTTTTGTACCACCAGGAAGTTCTGGTACATTTACACGTTAATACATTAACATTTTGTTTTTGAAGGATTGCACTCTCGCTGAGCATTTGGTATCCAGGCACATGAACAACTTCTGAATCGTTTCGAACGTGTATTTCAGTTCCTTTGGGTACGCCATGTTCAGGGCATACACAAGACCGAACAGGAGTGCAACTGCTGTCGGCAGGTCACTTACTTCATCAATGACTATCTGTTCCTCAAGCACCACAGTAAAGAACCTCGCGTTTGGGATTGAGTCAACAGTCCCAACATCATCCTCAACAATGGTTAACACTCCCATCTTCATGCCACCAACATGATTTTCTCGAGGCTGCATGTTCTGTTTGAAAAAAAGTCAAATTTAGCATCAACAGTTAATAAAACAGTATGGTTCTAGTAGTTTGCATGAATATGTCCTTTTTCCTTTTCTCTTTGAAAAAGCTTCAAAAAGTCACTCACAGGGCATGTGTAAAATATGTAATGTTTTGTAATAAACACATGTCATCTTAATCTTATTAACATAGAGACAGCATGTTGTAGTTATATATTTTCCCCCAAAATGTTAATTTAGGTTTCAATAGGGATAAATAACATGTATTTAGGAAACAAAAATATAGGTACCCCAGCTTTAAATAGTAGCCCTCTTGTGACATAATTACAAACAGATTTTGCAAATAAACATTGGGCCATCAACCCCAATCTCAAATTGGCTACTTGCACAAATCCCATAATACTTTGCGCTCTTGAGGGGGTAGCGCCCATATAGCTCCCATGAAGTTGTGTGGAAACTGATTTTAATTTTCATAACAACATTAAAAAATAAAAAGTTAGTTTGCTATTGGCAAAAACTTGCTATTGGCAAAACTAGTTTGGAACTGTAATATTCTGAAGAATGCCCTGGGATCAGAGCCTCAGAGAGACACCCCTCTGCTTATACCGGGCTTTGGTGCGCAGAGTGGGGTTCTGTGGAGAACAGCCCGGCTTTAGTGGACTCTGCTCTGCTGGATGTTGTCTTTGAAAACAATCAACGCACTGGATTAGGATTTATTTATTGTCATTTATTAATGAAGATTATAGACCTACATCCATATTTGTGGGACTGGATTTACGCCCAAAGGGCAAGTACCATTTATATTTTACTTGCCCAATGTCAAAAGTTGCTTAACCAAATATTTCTCAATACAATGAGTTAACAAGAGTTTGGCAATAAAGTGGCACTAACTGTGTGAAAAAAAAATAAAAAAAAATCTACTCTCAGCCTAAAAAGTCAAATAATGACTCCCAGGGCTCTTAAGTATGCAAAATAAAAAAACAAGACGCCTGTCGTGGTGTGTTCCGTTTGATTTGTTCACAAAATTTTCCTTTTGTGGCCAACCAACATGCATTTTTAATGCAAGCTTTAATTTCGTGCGTTTTGGTTGCGCATAGGTAGGAGACCAGCACTTGCAACAAGCTGGGGATGGTCCTGAACGCGTGTCTATGGTTCTGTCCGCGTGACTCTATGGTTCTGTCTGCACTTCTATGGTCCGCGCTCATAGAAGTACAGCAAACAACAGAAAGTTGTTGTTTGCTGTACGTACTCGAACAATATTTGCATCCTCCGTTCTGACCCCGGGAGTAGCTACTGCCGCTTTGTTAAAGTAATACTTACTTCACTTGCCCCATCGGGCAACTTGCAAAAACAGCGCACTTGCCCGTCCCAAATCTTTAGTTGCCCCGGGCAAGCGGACAACCGTTAATGTCGAGCCCTGGTTTTATCATAATTTGAAGGCGAGTGATCGCTACTTACAAACTACTTTAGAAAAGCTTGTTTCTAACGTTTGAAGAAACAAATTTAAAATACCACAAACCATGAGTATTTACAATCTTAATTCAGTAAGAAAAGAAATGTATTATACCTTGGCCCATTTTTGCATGATTAGTGTTTCTCTGATGTAAATAAGTCATAAAAAAGTATTACTCACCAGACAGGTTCTCAGGAAACTTTTAGACTCATCCCTCATGATCAACGGCAGACCTCTAAGAGCAGCAGATTTTCGGTGGGCAAGTACTTCTGTGATCTGAAAAACATAAAATTCTAAATATTAAAAGGACCTGTGGACTATGAGTGGGATACTGTACTGTGTTCTTTGAAAAACCCAAAACAGATTCATCTGAACTTTTACCTAAAATCTATTTCAACACAAATTAAGTGCAAGCCTGATGCGATCTGCACTTTGTGCCATGGTGGAGATACTGGGACCTTCTTGCACATTCTCTGAGAGTGTCCTGGTGTGGCTCAGGTCTGGGAGATGGTGGCCTCTGAACTGTCCTCCAGTAGTGCCCTGCTCTACCCTGGTGCTCCTCCTGAATCTCTTGGCTTGGACATTGTGTATTTGGAACGGTGTGCGGCGAGGGTACATGGTACTAAAAAAAAGGAACAATGCTGTGTGTGTAAAGAAAATGTCAAAGGATAGTCACCTGATCGTCAAGATTCTCCAACAGGGTCTTCATATCTTTTCCCCACAGCGCAGCGCGTGCCCTGTACAACCTGATAATCTTAGGCGCATACTCATCCAAAGATGAGAAGAATCGGTTCATCAGGTGGGTTTGTGTGATCCGGAAAAATTCAGCAGAAATCTAAAGAGAAAAAACAAAAAGAAAATTACTTTCAGATTACTACCAGTAAGTATTTACTTATTACTACCAGTAATAACTCACCTGTTCAGGCAAAAACAATGCGGGCCATTGTCTCTGGACATCCAAGACAAGAGGCTCTTCCATCACAATCTCTTTTCTTCTGAGGGAAAAAGTAATCTCCATCTTGGACTCCACAAATGCCATATTTGGATATTTTTTTCTCATTTCTTCACAGAGTGCCTCTTTTTCTTTTAGGAGAGATGAGTCTGACTGTCCATTTGGGTTGTCTGGGAGAAAGTTGGCCTCACATCGCTTGGCTTTCTTAAAACATCTCGAGTCACTCCCCACACTCCTCGGTCTTTTCCTATTTACAGATACCTCTGAACATCCAGCTGATCGCAACTTTTCACGGAAGTTGCCCATTTTAAACTTAATGCTCATAGTCCAGCTATTATAGCCACTTCCTGGGCCTGGATCTTTCAGACAAGGATATTTTGCTATCAAAGCAGCAGCCACAAACTCGATCTGCTTTATACTTGGATAGGCAGTGAATGTAAACATTTTCTGGGCCAGAGAATTGAGTATTTCAATCTTCATCTCTCTTGACATTGTGAGGAGAAGCTTTCCATTTTCTTCAAATTCCTTATTTGCTCTATTGAGACGTAGTTCTACATCATAAGCAAACTCCGGAATCTCAAATTCAGGTGGCCACTGTGAATTTCCCCGTTGCTTGACTGACACACTTGGTGAATTTTGCGCTGAGCTGCTTGAAGAGGAGGGCATGCTGGCTGTGTCTAAAGAGGAAATTGTGTCGGCATCTGAATCAGAGAACTTCTGGATGATCTTCAGCACAGCTCTATCACTTGGAAGTTGTGTTATTTCAGTTAAATTACAGAGCTCATTTCCAAAGTCTGGATCCTCAAATTGAATTACAAAGTCATTTTTTATTTCAACACCTTCCTTAAGGATTTCTTTCAATTGTTCAACTGAAGTGAGCTCTTCGGTAATATCCAGTCTTCTGATGTTGTCAAGGGCCAAAATCACGCGTAGACGCACCATCTTCAAAAACAGAAAACAGAACAGTTTAACAAAAAAAAAAAAAAAAAAAAAAAAGTAAAGCCAACATTTTTAAACTGAAAGAAACCTCTTCACTGCAATCATGTTCTTTCCCTGAACTACGTACAGTGGGAGTGGATGAAAATCATTCAAGTCTTCCAGCTCTAGGACTTCAGCTGCATTCATTTCACCAACAGCATAACATCTGTAGTGCTCATCGTAGCATGAAGAAAGCCTCTTGCAAAGAAAAGACGCGATGTTTGCATTCACGATAACAGTGACAATTTCAAAAAATTCAGGCAATCCGCCTAACTGACCAGAGGACAAAATCATGCCTTTACTGAAGTGAATCCCATGGACATCTACATCAGATGCAAGCATCAGCACCTCTTTGTTGGGATATTTTCTCTTGACTGCAGCCCCATAAGTTTCCTGTAAAGTACATGTTCTCACAGTTTTTACTTTTTGCACAGATAGTGGTGGTGAAAAGATACTGGGACCATTGAGATAATGTGCAATCATAAGCTGATGTTTGGATGCCAATGTAAGTGGAATGTTTTTAAAATTACGGGCATCTTTCACAACCCCTTTGAAATAGCTATGTTTCGCTTCAAATCTCATTGTCCAAAGCTCAACCAAGGGCCCAAAACAGCGGATCAAGTGTGGATAATGCTCCACAAAGTGATGCTTTGGTTTCAACTTCAGGTTGGGAAATGTCTGTTGAAGAAGTTGCCGGTGTTCCAAAATCTTTCGCTGTAGATAACAAAGGGTTTCTTCTGAGAACTTTGAAGACATGACCAACTCCACTATCTCTCTCAAGTCCATCAAAATGTCCCAAGCAGGTTCAGAATGGGGTACAAAATGACCAATGAGCAATGGCAGTAAGCGCAGTAAGGCCCAATTTTCATGACCATTTCCCCCTATAGTTGTTTTGGCAAGGCTCACCTGGGAAATCGCTTTGGGTTTGTTGACTTTGTCACAGTCCTTGTATGGAAAGGATTTAATACGCCTATTGAGCGTGTTGAGATCAAAGTGTGCTTTTTTGATGAGCTCCTTCAAACACACAGATAACTCAAATGGAACAATCCCTTCTAACGTGTCATGCAAGACATCAGGTGGAAACCCAGTTACAGGGTGAAAGAAAGAAAGCTGCTTACTGAGGACACATTCTCTTTTGACACCAATTCTGGACTGAAGTTCAGGATCATTTTCCAGTTCATTTGTAATAGTGTTGTGCTGGCTAATGGTTCGAAGTGGAAAACATGTAGCATCATTAGCTTGTATATCTTTTTTGCTCACTTGGCAGAACCTACACAAGTACTCTGCTTGAAAGCTTTCTTGAAAACCAGCAAGACCATGTGCACCCAAATTGTCAGCACACACACAATACACTGTACCTTTTAGACAAGTCTTGAGTACTTCAACAAATACACCTTGCTTCTCCAGTCTATTCAAGTCTTTTAGTAAAGGATCAAAGAATTTGTCGTGACCAAACTGTTTGATGTCAATGCTTTTTCCCAAAAGAGCTAGTTGGATAAGAGGAAGGGTAGAGCGGAACTTGGCTGGAAAATTTAGAAGAACCCAGTAAACGGCTGTAATTTTGTGGATCTTTTTTGAAGTTCCAAGGGGGTTACAGACTTCAAACTCATCAATGTAGAGGGACACAGAAATGCACTCATTTTGGACACCTAAAAGTTGATTCTCTCTGTGATATTGTCCACTCCGAGTAGATGTAAATTGGCCTGGCAAGTCTTCAACAAAAATGGCCTTTTCGAAAACATCAGGTCGATTGAGTAAAATTTCAAGAACTTTCAATATTGGAACATAAGCAAAAGAATTTGCTTGAAGTCTATCAAAACAATACTCCACAGGATCTACAACTTGGAAATTCTCTTTAAAGTAATTGTTTCTCTTGTGTTCTGTTGAGAGAGAGCCCTTGTCTGAGGTAGCTGTAAAAAATGGATTTGTTTTAAGTGCCTCAGTTGATATCAATTCAGCCAGCTCTTCTGTCAATCTCTCATCAATGTGACATTCATTTTTTAAAAGAATAGCCTTTATTGACTGCTTTGATGCATACTGTGAACATGAAACAATATCATGGATCCAATGTAATATTTCCTGAGTTGCCCTTTTAGAAACATGCAATATTGTCTGCATGTAAAGAATCAGTGAGGCCAGCTTGGCCTCAAGTTCCAAATAACTTGTGGGCTCTGAGTAAGTGGCAGTTTCAGGTACATTGCTCTCAGCAACACAGGACTGTGATTCAGGTATCTGTACTTGACTGGTGCCTTGTAATTGCGATTCTGTCTCTGTACTTTCTGAACGTGGAGTTTGAGATGTCACTCTAGTACTGAAATTGTCAAATCCATAAGACTTGTGTTTGCGTGATATGTGGCTGCTAAACGAACTGAGAACATTGGTTTTCAGGTTACAGTCCTTGAATGGGCATTGGACTGTGTCACAACTCTTCAAATGATTTCGTAAATGTTTTACAAAGTCCAATGGCTGGCAGTCATTTTTGAAATCACATAAATCACATTTAAAATGGAAGTTCCCAACATCTGAAATGGCCGCCTTATGCGCCCTGCTAAGATGAGATTTTAACGCACCTTTTGTTTTAAATGTGCAGACGCAATCCGTATACACACAGGGTTGCTGCCAGGATCGACCTTGATAGTGATGTAGCCTGTAATGTTTCAGAAGGACGTCCAGAGCACTGTGGTCAAATGTGCACAGCTTGCAATGCATTACAACCTGAAAAATATAAAAAAATACGAATTATTCACAATTTTGTAGAGTAGAAAATAAGATAATTATCTATAAAATGTATACGTATTATTTATTTATTTATCTGAAATGGCACAGTAAAAATTTACAAACAATGAACCAAGCCTCAATGTAATGGGTCAGTTAGCATAATAGATAAATATGCATTACCTAAGCAAAGGACTGTAAAATAATAATATTTATTTATAAATATCCATCCATCCATCCATTTTCTTCCCCTTAATCCATTTCTGGGTCAGGGGGGTTGCAGTCAGAGCTGCACCCAGTTCACATAGCACCAGCCCCTCACTGATCCTCCTGCAGGTGGTGAGTCCACAGGAGCCTTGATCTTTCAGCAAGGGCTTCAGGCAAAGTAGGGTTAAGTGTCTTGCCCAAGGACACAACGACAGCAGTCATCAGTGGGAATCGTGAAGTAGGTCTTGTGGTGGGCTCGAACTCACAACCTTCAGGCTCTAAGGCCAATGCTCTACCAACTGAGCCACTGTCGCCTTATTATTTATAAATAATATTGTCTAAAACAATGGTCAAATCACAAACCTGTACAGTATATATATATATATATACATTTTAGTTAACTGTAAAATAGTCATTGCATTAAATCACCAATGTATATATAATGCAATATTTATCTTTTGTAATAACCCATTCCAAATAGCCTTCCACACAGACATTTTACTGTCCTTCAAACACAATCTTAAATATTTTATAATATAAAGCCACGTATGTAAATGTATATGTAAAATAATATGTTCAGAAAAACACATGCAGGGATCAAAGTTAAGACTTTTCTGTGGCGTGTTTGTCCACTACTTATCGCGCACATGAGAAAGCAACAGGTCTCTGACTGGCGCTGAGAGCATCTGTGTGCGAGAGAGTGCGTGCACGTCAGTGTGTGTGTATGCAGGGGCGCGCGGGCGCCACGTGAACAAGCAGAAGCCCTATACTGAGCGTGATCGCGAACAGGTGGCTTTATCCGTGCGTAAAAGGGGCCTTTACCTCGGACTCGTCACGTTTGGCAGCGCGGATGATGTGCTCAGAGCTCAAACAGTAAAGTGTGCAGCTCTGGGTGCGCTGACGCCGCGATAGTTAATGCCAAAGCGAAATCGAAACTGTTGCTGCTCCGTGAAAAATGGCCACGGCACGCACGGGGAACGAGTGTCAAAAGCACACGACATCATTACACTAATCAATTGTTGTAACAGACCTATTCGAGACGTGCATAGAATCACACAGCCTAATGAGAGTCCACTTGAACATGTTGAAAACTATAATGGCGCCGACCGAGGGAGGCTCATACATCGCTCGATTTAATACAAATATACACAATCCAGACTTTCACA